AACGCCTGAGTTCTTTCCGCTTCAACGGACTCCAAGCTCTGCTTCAGCTTTGCGACCTCTTCCTGCAGGTCGCTTGTCCCCTTGGCGGCCCCTAGCCGCGTCTTTTCCATGGACATCCTCATCGCGAGCAACGCCTGCGAGCAAGATATGAGTTAGAAATAAACCAGAATGAAATTTCAAGTACAGCTCGTTTACCTTGCTCAGATGCTGGAACGACGTGGTCATCAGGTCGTCGCCTGTGTCGGCAAACTCGTCGTACAACTCCGACAGCTAGCACTCGAGCAGGCCATAGACTATTGGCTGCAAGTATTCAGGCAGACTCCCCAACGAGTCTAGAACCGATGAGTCCTTCGCCTTGCCAGCAGCGACCGCCTCGCCCACGGGCTCCTTGCCCGACTCCTGGGTTCCTGGCGCGACCTCAGAGGCTGTTCCTCAGATTCGGTCTCCGACTCTTCGGGCTGAATCTGCTTCCTCTTCTTCGACCTCTGGACCGGAGCCTTCCGCTTTGGGCGAACAATTGGCGCCTGAGCAGCCTGTCCCGTCCTGGTCGCTTCTTGCACAGGACGAGGCTGGGAAGCCGGGACTGTTCACACCGGCTGTGCCGGGATTGGACGAGCAACTTCGGCCGCCCTCTCACTCCTCGATCTAGGAAAGACGAATGGTGCTCGGCGGGGCTGCCCGGATTCCTTTGGAGGTATCGTTCCTGCATTTAAGTTCGTTAGTAAACGAAATCATTCTACGACCAGAAAGAAACCAGTATAATTTACCTTCTGGAGGTTCTAAAGACTCCTTGTCGCTGAAGAACTCGTACTTCCGCAAGTTCGCGGTCGTCACAAGCTTCCTCGCGTCCCGGCTCTCCTCGTCCAGTATTCCAAAGGATACGAGCCTGTTTGGGTCGATGAGTAAGTCTTGGCTGGTCGTTCTGTTAACTGCAAAAGAAAACAGGTCGTTATTATGGATCAAGCGAGCAGATAATGAACTCAGCGAAAGAAAACCTACTTGGATCCTGAAAACGGCAGTAGCCATCGTAAAAGAAAAAGAAGAACTTTGTCTCGTAAGCCCCCGCATTGCTGGGATAGCTGTGTATCCACGCGGCAATGGTAGGTCGCCGAGACAGATAGTACGAGTCCTTGTCCCTGCTCTTTTTGAGATAATAGGCGATGCTGAGCTCCACTACCGTTGGCTCGCCCAAGCCACTTTCACAGCACGCAATGTACATCGCGACAGCGATGACGTATGCGTTTGGCGTCAGCTGCATCGGTGCGATCCCGAAATGATTCAGGACCGACCTGATGAAAGGATGGAAGGGAATCCTCCCTCCACCCTTGAAGATCTCTTCAGAGATCGCGGCAAGGCCATCAGCCGGGCGCCGTGACGGCCTAGTGTGGTCGAGGAACACCTCAGCGCGGATGTCGAACTGCCTCTTTATTCTAGCATATTCGTCGGAGGTGAGAACCGAGTAGACATCGAGAGCTGCGTCCTCGGGAGCTCCCCGCGAGGACGAGCTGGCTCCTTCCTCGGGTCTGGATGTTGACGGTTCCATTCCAGTCTGCAACATCGACAGACACGGTCATTTAGGCCTTTGTGCTTGTCCCGAGCGGCGGCAGGGGACAAACTCTTAAACCCTAGCAGTAACTCGAGCCGCCGTACACGGCTCGAATCCAATGACGGCGTCACGTCCCTGGTGAAACACCGGGAGACCCAACGCCATCGCCTAACCAAGCAAATGCAAAGAAAAAGAGGAAGAAGAGAATCTTACCTTCTGCGATGAGTAACCGAGACCAAAGCTCGTTTCAGTTGCCTGAGAAGTACTGATCGGGAAAGAATGGTTTCTGATTTACAAAGGGCTGTCACTCGAAGCAAAATAAATTTCGGTGACCTCATCTGAAAAATGCGAGTTTTTATATGGATTGCGAATCGGCGGTTACCACCCCTCGGAAACGAAAAGACAGCCCACTCTCTCTCTCTCCCCGCATTAAATGCACCCCACGTCGCATTAAATGCCGTGATAATAGCCATCGTTTCGAACGCGTTGCGCAACTAATGCTGTCAAAACGGTGTCGGGTCAGCACACGATGCATTTAATGTGTCTGACAAACGCTTCAGCGCGTGCAGAGCACCTGACAGCGCAGGACCAGGTTCATTGAATTTCTAAGACACAGAAAGGAGCGTCCATCGGATCCAGCTCGCTGAGATGAAGATTGTCAGGTCGCTTAGGCAGGGAATTGCACGAGATCGTGTTCGCCAAAAATCCTGTGCCGAGCTCATCCCATACAGGTCGGAGCGACCAAATCCTCCAATATGACTTAGTTTCCAAGGTTCGATCCTCAAACATTAAAAACTAGGGGGCTTCTGTTATGCCACGGGAAAATAAAGGGCTGACGTGGGAAAGTCACGTGAAGGGTGACCTGTTCCCGTCAGAGCAACACGCACACGTCAGACCTGCCAAATGATATGGAGCACACACGCGTCCATTTCCCTACAATAAGTCGTGCGAAGTCAGCTTGGGAAAGGGAAAATGGGACATAAAGCCGGATTATATCCTGACAATCACACCAAACCATGGATTTAATGATGATTACACGCTTCAGTTTGATATAAAATGAAGAAGACCCCTTCGTTAAGGGGATTCGGCCATTTTCATACTGAGAAACACTCTCTCTCTCCTGTAAACACATTTGCTTTTTCCAACTCTTTTGTAAGTCAGTTCGCAGTTGCGACCTGACCCACACTAATATCAATACAAATCAGTGGACGTAAGACTTGCTACTTTAGCATCCGAACCACTTAAAAAACCCCCTTTGCATTTATTTCGCTTTATATATTCCATTTTCACGTGTACTTAACAGCCAATTAACGTTACGCACGTGACAATTCGTTGGTGCCAAAAACGAGTATCAACAATATCTATTTTAATATTGGTTGAAACTTTACTAGAGACTTTATATATGATGTTAATGAGATAGCGGTCTGATTAAATGTCTATAATAAAGTTCTATTTCTCCTTTCCAAACCTTAATCACCTTAAATTTTTATACATATCTTATTTTAATTGCAGATAATGGTCAATATTGATTTTACTTATGCTCAATGTAAAGTAATTAAAGAGCATTTTCTCTTGTTTACCCATAAGTTCTCTACCGTTAGACGAAAATTAAAACAATAAGTCTATCCTTATAAAGAAGTTTACAAAGTAGCTTACAAAGTAAAGGAAAAAACAAAAGAAAAACGGAAAAAGAGAAAGAGAGAGAGAGAGAAATGACGAAGATGAAGGGTGGAGATTAACTTTGTATGCCTCCTTTGTAAGCTCCTTTGTAAGAATAGCAACTCCCAAATTAAAATGACAACTCAAGTACTTAGATTTGACATTAACGCTTAGCAATATTTAATGAGTTAAGTACATTTTAGTCCTAATTTTGGGACCCAAAAGAGTCATAAAGTGACACTTGGGTCCATATATATTAACTGCCTAAACTACATAAGGGTAATTTAGTATTTCAATTTGGTCATCAAGTAATAAACACAATGATAAACATAGTGACTAAAGCTAGGGATGGACACGGGTCGGGTCGGGGCTAGAGACCCATGTCTTCGAGCCCAGCCCAAGGGCCTAAGGGAATTTGTTGAACCCGACTCATCCTCGAGAGGAGGGTGTAAGGGAATCCCCGAGCCTGGCCCACGGAGAATTTGGGGATTTTATGATTATGGTTTTACTTTTACTCTATATATTTTTGGACCCAAATTTTTTATTTGCAATAAAATATATATAACATATATATTAACATTCACATATATATTAGGAAATTATATATATATTATATATATATATATATATATATATATATATATATAATATATATTATTACACCTTGATAATTGATTCTAATTCCATGATTACACACCCACGACACTTCCTCTCCAAAACCCCCAACAAAGCCATCCCGTTTGCCCGCCGAACGTCGCTGATTACTACTTCCTTTCCTAGGGTTTTTGCTTGATTGATGATTTGGGTGTAATTGTTGGAGTTGTTTTGTTGGAAATCGACTAGTGAAGTTGGTTTAGAGTGTTTGTGGTTGTTGGTGGTAATTGTTTTTCCAGTCGTTGGAATCAAAGGTGGCGAATGAGAAAGAAGGGTAATTTTGTCTTTACATTATTTATACCATGTGACATAACAGATTTTTCTAACAAAACATAACAGTGGGTTGGAAAAGTGTTGTTCTGAAAATTGATGGGTGGGAAAAGTGGCATTTTGAAACTTGACGGGTAGAAAAATGTCATTAGACCAAACCTTGGGTGAGAAAAAGTCATTTACTCTATTTTAAAATCTCCTTTTAAACCCATTCAATATCAAAATTACCCGTTTAGACATGAATATGTTTTTTATTTACACAATTTTTCTAATATTTAGTTCATCTAGATTAATAGACTTAAATCATTTCCCTATTTCAGTTTCTAAATTTATAAAGATCCATTGATATATGGCAATTATAATATAGATAGTAAATATCTATTTTTTTTTTCTTGTAAGTCTCCTAAAACTAAGATTTTGTGTTCTTAATTACTATATAAGTTATCTATATTTTCTATACTCCTTCTGTCAACAAACGGTTAAGTAAAGAATTATGTATTCCAAAAAAAGTTCCAATAATTCTAAGAAAACTCTACCGTGATAAATATAATCCGTTAAATTGAAAATTTTGCCTTTTTTTTTTTTTTAAAGCAATTTGAAGAATAAATTATGAATTTTTTAAAAGTTGTGAAAAATAATAGATAAAAGGAAAATATATAATAAAAGTCTTTTACCCATTTGAGGTTTGGGCCTTTAATGAAAGCTTAACTTGAGAGTCTATATCAGAAGAAAGTCTAGAACTTTCTGGCAAGCCCGGAACTTTAGAACTTCGCGAATTTACCAGAAGGCCCCAGAGGCTTCATTAACTAAACAGAAGAGATTGCGCGCGAAAAAACCAGAATTTACCATTATTCTTAATAAAAACCCCAACGCACTCCCGTTTTAGACCATCAAAGACAATTCTTCGAAGTTGAAGCTTCAAACTCAGCAATCAAAGCTAGTACTCTCGCATTGTCAGAAACCATATGGCACTGATTCCGAGCTTCTTCGGCAACCAGCGCAGCAGCATCTTCGATCCCTTCTCTCTGGATGTTTGGGATCCATTTAAGGACTTTTCTTCACTCTCCACTCGTTTCCCTCAAGAAACCTCTGCTATTGTCAACACTCGGATAGACTGGAGGGAAACCCCGGAGGCTCACGTGTTGAAGGCCGACCTTCCTGGGCTGAAGAAAGAAGAAGTGAAGGTGGAGATCGAAGATGACAGGATGCTTCAGATTAGCGGAGAGAGGAATATAGAGAAGGAGGACAACAACGACAGATGGCATCGTGTGGAACGGAGTAGTGGGAAATTCTCCAGGAGGTTTAAGCTGCCGGAGAATGTGAAGATGGATCAAATCAAGGCTTCTATGGAGAATGGAGTTTTGACCCTTACTGTTCCTAAAGTTGAGGTTAAGAAACCTGACGTGAAGGCCATTCAAATCTCTGGTTAAAACACTGAATGTTCTGTTTAGAACAATGCTATGGATATGGATTGTCTGTATAAAATTAATGTGAATGCAAGGGAGTTTTGCTAAGAATTAATAATGTAACTCGGTGTAATGATATGTCAAGAACTCAATGATGTACTATACTACTATGTATTAAACAACCATCGTAATACAAGATCTAATGTTTTCAGTAATTTGAAGGCTGTATTAATATTTAATAACGTTATTTATAAACCTTGATGACCTTACGAATTATGGAGATCTTACTTGATTGTAGATTATAGTCTATACTAATTTTACTAATGTTACCCAATACTAATTTTACTAATGTTAACCAAAGTTCCAGAATTCTACGTTCTTCTAATAAAAACCCTAACACCCTCTCGTTTTAGACCATCAGAGACCATTCTTCGAAGTTCAAGCATCATATTCAACAATCAAATGATTCAAATCTAATACTTTCGCATTCTCAGAAACCATATGGCACTGATTCCGAGCTTCTTTGGCAACTAACGCAGCAGTATCTTCGATCCCTTCTCTCTGGATGTTTGGGATCCATTTAAGGACTTTTCTTCACCTTAAAGTCTTAAAAACCCGTTTGGTATCTCTAATTGCCAAGGTATCTGCAATTGCTATCTCAGCCCGGCTTTTTATCTTCAAACCCTAAAATTTGCCCAAGCTAAAATCCAACACTTTATGGTATCTCCAATTACTATCAACTATATTTCCCTCTATTGAATCGGGTCTTCTCTCTAACTTTAAGGTTGGTTTGGTTTTTAATGTATTTTGCTTTTTTTTTTTATTTCTGTTTGGTTGCTGAGAAAAAATGCAAAAAAGTGAAGATTTTATAAGCTTATGGGTTTTGTAATTTGGGCGATGAGAATACTGGAAGTAGAAAGATTAGTTTTTAAATTGTTTAGTTCCCGTTTGGTAGCTGAGAAAGTGACGGAAAGTAGGAGGACGCAACGGGAAACGGCATTTTGTGTTGAACCTGAGCTGTTGTTTGATCTGGGTCTTATTCAATGTTAGAATAATAAAATATAACAATTCGGGGATTTCTCCCCCGAGTCCGGGGAGGGGATGGATTCATCTAACGGGGACAGGGAATTGGAAATCCGGCCCCGCCCCGTAGCCATCCCTACTTGTCTTTACTCTGTGCCGTTAAAATTGTAACTCGTTTGGTGCAGCAAATTGTAGTTTGACAAATTATCACGCTCTCTAGTATTTTGACTTTTTTTTTTAATATCATATGAAACCGAATATAACTAGTCGCATGATACGTTGTCTTGTTGAACCCACGAAACAAGCCTATAGGCCACTTAAGAGTTTATGTTATAGGTTCGTATTTTCACTTTTGCATGTAAACTGTTTGTCAAAATGCATGCTAACTGATGGGATTGTGTTTGAAGTTTTTTTTCTTTTTTTTTTTTCTTGATAATGATTCTCTGTGGTACCACTTGTCATAAGACGCCCAGTTTGTGTAAAATGTTGAATCATAAGTGGATACTCTTGAAGATTGTTGATTCTTTTTCACACAATGTAGTGCTCGAATAATTTGTGAATGGTTGTGGTGTTATTGATTAGACTTTGTAACAAAATGATTCCTTAAGTATATGAAATTAGTTTAATGCTTTTCAAAAGTTATTTGCCTGGTAATTGTATGTATAATATCGATATGGCACAATTGTCTTGGGTTTACATTTTTATTTTTTTTCCTGTAAATTAGCACTTGTTTAATTGCTGGTTGCTTTCTTGTTCTGACATTAGAATGTCTGATCTTGAATACCAGAACAAGTTCTTATGAGAACAATGCTGCCTAGACGAATTCAAAGCCTTGTGAATTTGCATGATTTGATTATGCAAAATTCTAATGCAAACATTATTGGTATAAATAAGTTAAAGCATCCATGTGGTATGTACTCTACTGGATCGATCCGCCCAGAGTTCCCAAGGAAGCTAAAGAAAAATGAGCGGAAACCATTGGTCACAAGTATTAATGAACTTAAGCGTTTAGCTAGAAGGGAAAAGAAACAGCGGCAGATGGTGAAAGAGAAGATTCTACGGCCTCCAGAAAATGGATTGTTGGTCAAGGAATTGATACCAATTGCTCATGAAGTTTATGCAGCCAGAACTGAATTATTTGCTTCTGTTTCAAAGATTGTTGAGAGTATCTCCATATATACATGCAGGTAAGCACTCAGCTTTCTTAATCATTGTCTAAGAGACTAGACTATTGAGTTGAGTTGAGTATAGGAAGTTGTGGATAGGCATCATCTTTTAGTAATTATGCTGTCTGTACCTTGGTTTGTGGAATTTGTGTTGTTTTTATTAAATGAGTGCGAAAAGTAACAGAAAATGTAGAGCGTTGTAGATTTTGATCATCTTTTTGTGGGTATTGTCTGGGGTCCTTTAGAGGATGAGTAATGATGTTGCTATTTTGTTTGTAATAAGCATGAATATTTATAATCAGAATTTATAGGTAACCTCTAATTGCAACTTTGTATTACATGTTCTAGCTTGTTCTAGAAACAGATGCCTAAAGTTTAAAAGATAAGCGTGTTATACATATATTTATGGAAAAATGCTATCCTTACAAAGACCTATACAAAGAGGGTTACAAAGTGACATCATCCAGAAGAAAAAACAAAGAAAAAACGGAAAAAGAGAAAGAGAGAGAGAGAGAAATTATGAAAATCAAGGGTGAGGATTATCTTTGTATATCTTTTTTGTATGTGTCTTTGTAAAACTAACATTGCTCTATATTTATGAGCCATATAAGAAAAGGAAGGCATATGATATGGAAGAATCCTACTTCTCTTGTGAGCCCAATCTATTGAAGTCCAAACTGAGGAGCTCGGATTGAAAACAAAATTACGTACAGTGATATACTTGAAAGTGGAAAGGATAAAGCAGTGTAAATGGAGATTCTGGTTTTTTATTTATTTATTATTATTATGATTGATCTGATCGATGGTTTGACATAAACTTTTTTTATGATTGTAAACTTGTCTTTTGTAGCTTGTGTGGAGAAGTTCATGTTGGTCATCCACCGCATAAGATCAGAACATGCAACGTTGCAGGTAGCCCAGCAAACAAAGAACACACTTGGAGTATTGGGGATATGAAGCATGTTTTGCCTCTTGTGGAATCTTTTCATCTATATGACAGGGCAGGGAGAGCTGTTTCTCATAATGAGAGGCTTGAAGTGGATCAGATTCCAGCAGTTGTTGAATTGTGCATCCAAGCAGGCATTGACATCCCTGAGTACCCTACTAGGAGAAGGATTTTTCCTGCTTACGATATTGCGGGTAAAGTTATTGATTTTGAGAAAAGGTTCCCAAAAGAAGTTGCAACTGGCAAAGGCATAGACACGTGGATTTTGGGGTAAGAGAAAGAAGTCAAGTGAAGAAAACAGGCATGGGAGAGAATGCGGTCAGGAGCATCCAAACTCATGCAGAAGTATGCTGTCCAAACCTGTGGATACTGTTCAGAGGTCCAAGTGGGGCCTAAGGGTCACAGAGTGAGGAATTGCCAAGCTTATAAGCACCAGATGAGGGATGGGCAACATGCATGGCAGGAGGCAACAGTTGATGATTTGGTTCCTCCAGTGTATGTATGGCATGTTCAGGATCTAACAAGTGGCAAACAATTGGTTAATGATTTGAAGAGATACTATGGTATGTTGCCTGCTGTAGTGGAACTGTTTGCTCAGGCTGGTGCAAAAGTAACTGATGATTATGCTGGCATAATGAGGGACGATGTTGCAGTGCCTGAGTTGGATGAAGAGAAGTGGGTTGTCTAAAGTTGATTGGATCAGATTGGTTGAAGCATCAAACTCAGCAATCAAATCTAATACTCTCGGCATTCTCAGAAACCATATGGCACTGATTCCGAGCTTCTTCGGCAACCAACATCGCAATATTTGTTATTCCTATGATAAATCATCGATTCAATTAGTTGACGGGAATGAATGTTCCAGTATTCTGCTTGACATTTAAAAGAGGCCTAGAAGAGATAGAAGTAAAAACATGAACACCAGGCAAAATCAGGATAACAAAAAAAAAAAAAAAAAAAAAAATCCTGAACATTGCCGTCCAAGAAAGCTGCATTATCTTTTGATTCTGTCTGTTTTAAAGACAAAAGTTCAAATAAAGGAGTGGCTAAAATTAACAATACCTTTGGCAGTTTCTACATATGTAGCTATCCTAGAAATTTTATTGATTGCCATTACTTGTTTGAGGCTAAATTTCAAGTAGCTGCAGAGAAAAATCTCCCTGAAAAAAAGAAAAAACAGAAGAAGAAAGTAAAAGAGAGAGATGGAAAAACAAGGGTGGAGATGCAGAAAACTGGTGCTAGTTCCATGTCCATTCCAAGGACACATAAATCCCATGCTTCAGCTAGGCACCATCCTTCACTCCAGAGGTTTCTCTATCACAGTTGCTCATGCCCAATTCAATTCTCCTCAAACTTCCAATCAGCCTGATTTTATCTTCCAATCCCTACCAGATGGCATATCATCCAAACCTGACATCGCTCGTTATTTTTTAGCTTTCATGTCAAGTCTTAACTTGAACTGTAGAGCCCCATTCCAGGAATTTCTAAGTCAGATGATAGGAAAACAGGAGCAGCAAGACGAACTCCCCTGTATAATTTATGATGCACTCATGTACATCTTACAAACTTGTAGTGTTACCACTATGCTGACGTACTTTGCATATCCTCGACTCCAAGAGGAAGGTTACATTCCCCCACAAGGTATAAGAACTCCATATTGTTTTCACTGAATATGTGCTAGTGACAATTGTAATGCTCACAGTTTAACACAACGAACTAATTTAATAATTTTAGCATGTTTCCTTTACGTGAAAGGGTGATAGTATTTCAAGTCTTAATTTTATAGATCAATTTGTAGCATAGCTCCGCTGGTGATGATTTCTGAAGCTTGAAACTACCACTTTTTTAATGCAGATTCCAACTCAACAGAGTTAGTGCCTGGGCTTCATCTCCTCAGATTCAAGGATCTACCATCAAACACTTTCGATGATTTAGATCCCACTCTGCAACTAATAGCTATACTGAGCAATATAGGATCATCTTCAGCCATCGTTTGGGATAGTATGGACTGCCTTGAACAATCATCATTAGCACAATATCAACAACAATTCCGAGTTCCAAACTTGTCAATAGGTCCTATGCACAAAATTGCTTGGCGTCCTCTAGTAGCTTACTGGAAGAGGACAGCAGTTGCATCTTATGGCTTAACAAGCAAGGTCACAACTCAGTTATATATGTAAGTTTTGGAAGCATAGCATCCGTGGATGCCAAAGAGCTAACAGAAATGGCTTGGGGCCTAGCCAACAGCAACCAAACTTTCCTGTGGGTGATTAGGCCGGATCCTGATAATGGAGCAGAACCTAATGATTGGTTGCCTGATGAATTTAAAGAGACTGTGGGAGAAAGAGGCTACATAGTGAAATGGGCACCACAAAAAGAAGTATTGGCACATGGTGCTGTGGGAGGATTTTGGAGCCACTGTGGTTGGAATTCAACCATTGAAAGTATAAGTGAAGGGGTTCCAATGATTTGTAGGCCATGTTTTGGGGATCAAAAGGTGAACACAAGGTACATCAGCCATGTATGGAGAAATGGGTTTGAGTTGGAGAATGATTTGGACAGAGGGAAGATAGAGAGAGCGATTAAGAGACTGATGGTGGAAAAAGAAGGGGAGGAGATGAGGCAGAAGGCAGCAGAATTGAAAGAAAAAATCAAGAAAGGTGGATCTTCTAATAATTCCTTGGATGAATTAGTAGAGCTTATAACGTCAGTTTAATGGCAATTGCCATCAAAACTAGTGTCTTCAGGCATCTTAGCTTCATGAATGGCCAAAAATCTTACTATCACTATTATCTTTTTTATATATTTATTTTTGAAAAGAATAATTCATTCTCTTCAAGTTCATTTGTATTTGGTTAAAGAATAATTTTAGAGGATGAGTAATGATGTTGCTATTTTGTTTGTAATAAGCATGAATATTTATAATCAGAATTTATAGGTAAATTTACAATAATTTTGGATATCTTGAGTTAGTAATAAAGGGTTAATACCAGTGACGTAGCTAGTATTTTGAATTAGTGGATTCAAAACATCAAAGTTAATAAATTTATAATAAAATATATACTGAAGTAATAAGCATAAAAAATATACTTTTAAAAGTTATATATACCAAATTATCAATTATGCAATTATCTTCGACGATATTTCATATTCTGAAAACGTTGTATAATTGTTTCATAGACAATTCCATCAGATATATATCTCTCTCAGTATATATAACAAGACAATCATTTAACAATTAATCTCCTATTCGATTTCGTAGTCGATTTTTCACAATCTTCATTGCACAAAATGCTCTTTCAACACTTGTAGTTGCAACAGATAATATCAATGTTAATTTTATGTTCAAAAAGATAACAACACAAAAAAAATCACCCTCCTTTTCTACACTATACTCTATTCAATTTGCATATTTTCTAAACCAAATGAGATTAAAACGACGCATCATATTCTCAATTGCTCGCTTTTTAAAATTATGATTGTGTGGTTGGCAAGGTCTTTTTTGCAAGTATGTTTTTCTCACTTTGTCTCTATCATTAGGATGATATTCTAAAATGTTAATCCTTAATCCAGGATATGGAGGAAGACTACTCAAGTTAAGCTTAACATATGTTTGTCTTAAATTAGATTTCATAGGCTCATTGTGAACACTATCGTAAAACCTTATGTTTTGTTCAATTGATGGTTCCTCATTAGAAAACTTTCTTTTGATAAAAAACTTGTCCATAACTAAAAAAAAATAAAAGAATTTTTATTATCAGAAATATAATTTATTTGCAATTACAATTAAAAAACAACACAAACTTAGGTTTTTCAAATAATTTCTACTAACCCAATAAAATTCAACTCATAAACCCATGAAAATTCATCAAATCTAACTCTAAATATCAAGCAACTAACCAATATATCGAAATTAAATCAAATCCCAAAATCTCTACAACTTAATTTCATCAATTCTTTAAACTATATTCAAAATTAACTCAATAACTAACCATAATTTATTAAACCCGACTTAAAACAACAATTAATTAACTCATACCTCAACATAAAGAAGATTAAATCAAAACTCATATCAAAATCTAGGAATTATTTCCAACTTATTTATTAAATTCAATAAAAACTCTATAACTCACAATCTTTCATAAATTAAGAAAGTTAAAAGGAAAAAAATAATTTTAAGTAAAAAAATAAAAATAAAATTAGTATCATCTTACCTTGTAATCCAAAGGAGTAGCATTTCTTGAGTATCCAACTAATAGAAAAATATTATATGAGAGAAAAAGAGAGGAAATAAAGAAAAGAAAAGAGTTTAAAAAGTATTTGTAAAATCCCTTTTCTAATTTAGTAATAGCATGAATTTTATTTAGTTATTTAATTCCTTTCTATTTGATTTTATGGTATTGTTGTAAGAAAGGGGTATTTCTATTAGTTTTTAAAGTTTGCGTTAAGGGGTGAAAACAAAGAAATAAATTATGATGGGTTTGCATGTATCAAGAGGGTTTATAAAAGTTCTTAAAAAAGAAATAATAATAACATACAACAATTCTTAAGCAAATCCTAACGACAATATAATTCTATGAATATACAATGGAAACAACCATCCCATTCACTCTGGGGGATGGGTACTTCGTAGGGTGGTTTTAGCACCACAACAATCTCATGCATAATCTCAAGTAACGTGTAAGTCAAGAGCATATTACGTATGTGCTTATAAATCATACATATATGACATAATATTCAAAAATTACATATAGGGGTGAAATTGCAATTTTCTAAACATATTTCAGAAACTGACGGTTTAACCTAGATTAAAAATTACCTCAAGCAAATATCACTTTTAAAAGTCAAAGCTCATATAACACATTATAATTATAATTAAACCTGTTATGCCTGAGAAATCAAAGGCTGACGTGGATTTGCGTGACGAAACGTGGCTTGCTCCCGTCAAAACGGTAAGCGCACGTCAAGCCTGCCAAACGCCCTGGTGCTTTCACGTGTCAGCTAACCTGCTCCAAATCGCGTGAAATCGGCTTGGAAAATGGGTAATGGGACGTAAAGCCAGATTACATCCTGACACACACACCAACCCAAGGATTTAATGATCATTACACGCATTTAGCTTGATATAAGAAGAGGAAGACCCCTTCATTAAGGGGATTCGATCCTTTTTACATTGGTATTCTCTCTCTCACTAAACAAAGCTTTGTATTGACTGTTCAATCATTTGTAACTCAGTCCGCTTTAGTGACCTGACCCACCATATTAATACACATCAGTGGACGTAGGATTTGCTACCTTAGCATCCGAACCACTTTAAAAATCTCATTGCATTTATTTCACGTTGACAATCCATATTCACGTGTGTTCCTAGCCCAATCAACGCTGCGCACATGTCAATTAGTTGGTGTCTAAATCACGCATCAACAGTTTGGCGCTAGAAGGAGGGCCCTGATTTAGTGTCTACCCTTCATCAGGAGAATCTTGGACTTACTGGTCTTACAACAGCAAATGGCCTGCCAATCTGAGCCAGAGCAAGCTAATCAGCGTACTGAAAAAGCTCCAGTTTCACAAAATGCTGCGGGGGATATCCCGGCAGCTTCACAACTTGACCCTGCCATTAGAAACTACCTGGAGAGGTTCGACAACACTCTCCAGACGGTCAACCAAAGGTTGGACCGTTTGGACCAAGGCATGTCATCTACAACAGCTGGGGCGGTGCAACCGCCAAAGACGCCTGCAGGTCGCACGAAAGCGCGGCAAAGGGCAATAGCCCATGCCGCGAGCACTGCAGCGCATAGACGTAAGGGCAAGCAAGTGGCAAAAGGTCAGCCTATGGGCCCCCAGGGACCAGCGAGCATAAATCGTGCCCCGAGCAGGGTGCCGGTAAAGCTGAGACTCGGCAAAAAAGTGAATCCCGAGTAGTCCCATGCCACGTCGCAGGCAAACCCAAGCAAAAATGCCGCGAGCGATGATTCTTATCGTCGCCAGCAAAACGATCCCGATCGTTATCATGCGGGTGGTCCCCACACCTCATGGGGAGGTTCGTACCACCGCGAGGGTCGTGAAAATGCCCCGCTCGATCCATCGCCTTCACACGCCTCTAGCTAGCGTGTGTCGAGTGCGACCGAAAATGCCGGCCGAGGTGAAGAGGAGTTCGACCTACGGACCCTCCTGAACCGTAATTGTGAAGGCCAAACTTGCATGGGTGAAAGCAACCCCTAATTGGCTCCGTTACCACAAATTGAGGAGCTACAGCGAGCTCTGGACAGGTTAAGAGAGCAGCAAAATGAACAGGCGCAGGTCGCCTTTGCATCCCCTTTCTCTCCCGAAGTACTAGCCGCTCCACTCCTACCGGGGTTCAGAATGCCCGATATGCGACCGTTTGATGGGAACCATGATCTGCAGGATCATTTATATGAGTTCAACGACCTGATGGAGCTCCACCAGGTTTTGGATCTTGCAAAATCCGTTGTTTGGCCGTAAAGCTGACTTCTCACGCCAAGCGATAGTTGAGGTCGCTCCCAGCGGGATCGATCAGTTCGTGGCCTCAGATGAGCACGACATTCCTATGGCACTTCCAAGCTAATTGGAAGTTTTCGATGCCTTTGAGCTACCTCAGCAACATAAGGCAAGAAAGAGACGAATCCCTACAATCTTACATCGACCGTTTCCACAGGGAACTCAACAAGGTCGCTCATGCTCCAGAAGAGTCCGTCCGAACACTTATAATAGCTGGAGTTCAGCCGCAAACCGACTTGTGGAAAGAACTGCAGGCTGAGGACGATGTTTCCCTCACCGGGTTTTACAACCTTGCAGAAAAGTATCTCCGAATAGAGAATTCATTGGCGGCACTTCGTCGTCGTGATCATGGCACTTTCAGCAGTATGTCTAGTCGGGGAGAAAATAGAAGAGCTGATCGCAAAGGAGATATTGATGATCAGTGAAAAGGGAAGAAACCCCGTTACGAGCACAAAAAGTCCTATGCTCCCGTTCCTCGTCGCGACCGCGACAAAGCTCAATACACTCCGCTGAATGTGTCTATATCTGCTATTCTTGACAAATCCGAGGAGGCCAGCCTGTTCGGTGAGCCGGAACCAATGAAAACTCCTGCTACGGCCAGAAACAGCAAAAAATACTGCCGTTACCATCGGGATAACGACCATCACACTAATGAATGCCGAGCTCTAAAGCAGGCTATCGAAGAGCTCATCAAGAAAGAGCACTTCAAGGAGTACATTGATGACTCTCCAAAAGAGAGCCAAGGGGAGCAAAAGAAAAAGCGTCGTGATCGTAGCAGATACAGCAGTGTTAACATAATCTTCGGAGGTCCGCACCTCGCTGGAAACACGCGAGAAGCGCAGGAAAGGTACGCTCGCGAAGCATATCACGACCCGATTAGGGTAATGAACACTTCGCAGCGACCTCAAAAGGCTAGAAAGGAGGAATCGATCACCTTCTGTGAGAAGGAAGCAGCTCACTTGCATCATCCTTATGAGGACACTCTGGTGATCACGCCCCTAATAGGGTGCCATAATGTCTGCAGAATGCTTGTAGACAACGGAAGCGCTGTGAACATCCTGTTCAAGACCGCTTTTGATAGAATGAACCTAGACGAGGCCGACTAAAGCCCGCCTCGATACCTCTCTACGGATTTACAGGGGACCACCTGATCCCCAGAGGAACAATACAGCTACCAGTCACCCTCGGTGACTACGA